GAGGAAATTTTCACCTCTGTGGGGAACTCTTGGGATTCTCTTCTATGCTGTATTTGGAAGTGTTGCCTTTGATGCATCCCTGTATTGTTCTTATGCAATGTCACTTGATAAAGATTAAACTGGAGGGGGGAAAAGTGCTAAATCCCTGTGTGTCAGAATAAGCTAACTGCTGTTTTAACCTCTTTCATGTACCTGAGACATGTGACCCAGGTATTTGCAGCAGGTGTAATTGGGCTCATAGATTTTATCAAGACTGATGCATTAGTTTAAACAAGGAGTAGCTGTCACAGGAGCTAATCCTGTGGCCATGCTTGTTGTACACAGCAGAAAATTTCAAACTGAGAGGCCTTTTCCTTCCTCCCTCCCATCCCTGGTGTGGGATCTATCCTCAGGGAACAAGGGGATGCGCTGTGAGGAGCTGCTGGCCGTGGAGTGAGTGTTACAGCAAAAGGGTTGGGCAGGCTTGTGGAGAGATGGCTGGAGTCAGGGAGCAGGGAAGGGGTCTGTGGTTTCTGGGAGCAGCACTGCTTGCTGTGCAAGAGATCTCCATAGCCATGGCTCCTTGCATTCCTGCTCTGTCCTGTTCTGGCTCCCCTTGAGGCTGGAGCTGTAGAGATAGATTTGACCTTGCTCCAGCCACTGTCTCTTGACTTCATTTCCCACTCTGCACCCAGCAGCAGCCTCTCTGTGCCCTCCTCATGATATATCCTAGAGGTCAGTCTCTCTTCCTCTCCCCTTCCCAAATGTCTTGGCATGCTGCTTCCATGGGAAGGGATAGTGGAGGGGGGAAGGTTTGCTGAGACACAGCAGTTTGCAGTGAATAAAACCAATGCTTAAACTATTATTTAAAAATGTAATGTGCAAAGTACTGATTAGGATAAAAGCTGGTGTTCTTGTTGTCTAAACATAACTATCTGAACACCTAATGCCTTTGCAGAACATGTACGTGGAGTTTCTTAATCCCAAAGAATTTTCACTTCTGTTATGTAATTGTCCAGCTTTGAGCTAAATGAGAATGAGGTTTTGTCTCTCTCCTTCCCTCCTTCCTTCCCTCCCTCCCTCTTCTGTGCCCCCACAAAATATTTGCTATGAATCCTTGTTTGTAGACAAGCCAGACCATATAGCTGTGGCCAGGCTTACTGAACAGGCTGCTGAGATGCTTGGCTGAGGAACAGGAATAAGGATTGCACAGTGCACCCACTAATTCTTTCAAATTTTCTGAAACTAGAGCTTTGTCAACAGTTCCATTTCTTTTTAAACAAAACATCCTTTCTGAAAGTGGTGCAAGTCCTGGGTTGCACCCACAGATCCTATTGCCATACTTTGGGAAAACAACAGGACTTGGTTTTGCAGTGCAGGCAGGACCACTTCTGTACAGAAAGTCATGGACTTCAAGATGAAATGTGCAAGGCACAAGGGCTGCTGGCTGTGTGTGTAAGGTGAATGACACTGCTCAGGAGGCAGGTGACAGGAAGGAAATGAGGATTCTCAGCACCACAAGAAAAGGCCATTTTTCCCCCCCATAATAAGTACATGGTCCTCTTTGTGTTAGCAAGGTTATATGGATGTAGGTAATAAAAAGTGTGGCTCAGGAGCCATTAATTCTGAGGTACAAGTTTCCCTTTGATGCGTTACTGCTACAGACGTGGAATGTTTGCTCTCTTTTTTCTTTTTTGCACTTATTTCCAGCTCCTGCGCCAGCCCAACACCTCTCCATCCTTGCATCTGGTACTCTTTTAATTTGGGCTTTGCTTGTGTTAGTGCATTGGCTGCCTCATCTCTGTTCGTCCTCAGGCTTCCCAGACTGTAACAAAACGTTTTCTACTGACACCATAAACTGCATGACTGCTGCCCTGTGCAGCGAAGTCTCTGTGCCTGCCCACAGACGGGGCAGCAGGAGGTTTCTGTACTATAGTCTTGCACTCTAAATTTTAGACTTTTTAAGCAGGTGAAAAATAGAACTTTATTTTTAAATGAGGCACTCGTTCTGGGAATTCCTTTCTCGGCCTCGGTCTGGTTGGGGTTCTGGGACAGCGTTGAGGTATGTGGGAGGGCACAGGACTGCTCCCACCCCTCGCTTTTCTTCGCAGGCACCAGAGAGGGGCAGGGGCGGCGGAAACCGCCCGGGAGACGGTTGCCAGAGGTGTGCCCGTGGTTTATTTGAAATAAATTGTGACTTTCTAACTTCGGCGGTGTCCTGGCTCTTCTTGGCAGTGAGATGGGGAGGGGTGGGGGGCGGGGCTCGT